TCATAGGGGGTCATATGATTGTTGGGTTTTTCTCTGTATCTATGAAGCGCCTTGAGGCGACTTTTGTTGTGATTTGGCGCTAGATAAATAAAATTGAATTGAATTGAATTGAATTGAAGCTACAGTTGTAGCCACAGCTGCCCTGGGGCAGACTGACAAAAGTTTTAAGTCATGAAATTTTTCTATGATCAGTTCTGTCTGTGTCATAGTTATGACATAGGTGTCACTGTGACTTCTGCATATTTTACAGTTTGAATTCTATTTCCAACCAGAAAAAAGATCTGAATCTCTTTCACAGCTCTTGTTTGTGACTATTAGACTTACAGAGTTCTTTTATTAATGTAAAACAAAACATCCATCAGGACGTTCCTTCAACCCCTGTTTACACTCAGGGGCAGAAAACCCAGATTAGACTTTGCTAGAAAACACTTAAAAAGGAGCTGCTGCTTTGAGAGGATAACTGAAAGATTCCCACTGGCTTGGAAAAACATGCAGAAGATGTGAAGTTTCCACAAATATGCCAAGAAAGGTAAAGTTAGTGCGGCAGCATGACTCAAATAATATTACCCAGCAGCTTTTGGTGACATGAGGCCCAACCATAGATTTGAAATGTAGAGATATTAGATATCAGAATGATCAATTTACATGATTCATGTTTAGTTTATAGATTCCAATCTGTAGGGTTTCAATATCTATAAATATGCTGTCTAAATAAAGTTTTACTTGTGTGACAACCCACTGCACCCTGCCTTCCTTTTGGCCTACTTGTGTCTTGTTTGCAGGCACTGGAGAGGCAGAGTTCCTGTTCACAGTTAGTGACACTGGCAACACCGGGGCCCAGTGTGCCAGGACTGCACAAAAAGCCATTAGAACCTAGATATGCGTCAGCTCATTCCCCTGAGACACCCTGTTGGACTGTGGTTGCTTTTGGTTGGGTTCTTGCATTTAACAACATTACATACATCATTTTTCCACCCATGCACTCCTCTACACCACTGATGGTACTGACTACACACACATCATAATTTATTCAAAGTTTATTTTTTCTGTTTTATTTACTTTAAATAAAATAGTTTGGATGACATCGCTATGCATCTCTGTTTTTTTGTCATGCATGCAGCCTGGTTTGTGACACTTGCTAACTTAAATGTTCCATGCTGCCCTTTTTCATTTTTTTATAATTTAATATTTGTTCAATGTCAGTACTGCTAATTATGTTATAGAATTTTATTATGATGACAATATTAATCTTTGCTTTATATTTCATCATCCTCTTCATGAATATTTCATATTTCATTTGTTTATTTTTTTCCATTTTGTTTTTATACATGCCATGGTTTTTAGCTTTTATTTTTCTGTTTTCTCCTTTAAAAGAAGGAAAAAAATCTGCACTTTATTCCCACTTTTTAAAAACAGTCCCTACTGTTTTTTTTTTTCTTTTTTGGGGGGTGGGGTATTGGTTAATTTAAGTTAATGCTGTTAATGCAAAATTTTTGTCAAAACCTGTAATTTAACAGTAATGGTCTGCATTTTACTCACATCTGCATTGCTTCATTTCACATCCATATTGGTGGTATTGACAGTTATGAAAACGAACATATACCTGTGGGCATGACTGTAGTTATGTGTCGCCAGTCTATCGGGAAACCTAGAAAATATGAGAAAACACCTACACTTTGTTTATTTATTGATTTTCCCAGCTCTGCAACACACAGAGAGTCTGAATGAGCTGTTCTGGTTTGCAGCCTGCTGCAGCAGCAAAAGCAGAGAAATACCAGCCTCAGCTTGCATCGTCATTGCTGTCCACAGCTAACTTTCTTTTCCATTTCCTGTTTATCGCTACTATATATAAATATATATTCTAATATTGGTTTAACTGCACTTATTCTTATCTTCGGGAGACACTGCTGGTCTGCAGCTGATCTGTCTGTGGCTGTCAGTAAGTGGAGTGTAACTTATCAATATGTTTCATCCAGACTCACCTTTTCTGTTTCACTCTGCCTTGTTACTTGACTCCACTTGAACGCACAGTGAACAGCGGGACTATTAGGCTCTTTATTTTTCCCAAACCCCTCCTGCAGTGACAACATTAATTCATGAGAACACCCCCGCCCCACTCAACACTTGGTCGAATGTTGCCTCTGGTGATTTTACATCACTTCTCTCCACCTTCCAGAAATCCGATTTCAGTGCCTTGAGTGGGCTGGATTTCCGCCTCTAGAGCTCAGAGTAAGACCAGCCATGTGATATAACACTGGGCTGATTAGAAACTTGCCCTGCCAAACATTTTTCCCTCCCTGTGAGGAAAACTCAGTTGTAGAAATATGCTGTGCATCATTCTTTTAGTTTGGGAAAATATTAGGAGGGTTTTTGTTGATATCAGACATGAATAAACAATAATTTCACACATGAAATTTGTTCCCTTATTGAGGTGATCACATAATGTGAATAAACAGTGCAACTACTGATATATTATTAGTCAAATTAAAGTTTTTACTCACCTGTCAAATATACTATATCATATTGTGTGAAGGATTATAAGATATATGACTAAATTCTTGAACCACTAAAAAATTAAATACTGTATTAAAGTGGAAATATCAGGGAAAAATACCCATTTCGTCTTTTGTCCCAAATTTAAAAGTAACTCTATTATGTTATTCATTGCTTTCCTGTCACACATACTTTATCCTGTTATAATGACTGAGGCTCACATTAAATATGGCTAAAGCTTCATGTAATGAGTTCCAACAATCTGATTTGATTCTTAGACCTCATGGTGCTGGTAGGAATACAAGGCTGTAAAAGTTCAGTTAAGTCATATGATTTCAGAACATTGAAACTCTTAAAAATAAGTAATAAAATTGGACAGAAATGGACTGGAAGCCATGAGCAGCACAGGTGTGATTTGATCATGATGTATCTTTCCTGCAGCTTCAGCATTTTGCACAGCCGGCAGGGGACAAAGTAACAACTGATCAGAGTCAACAAAGTGACAGCAGTCTAATCGAGGGGTAATAGAGGCATGAATTACTCTACTAGTCATGTGAAGGGGCTTGTGTTTATCACTTAGAGGACAGCATATGCACAGGTAACCCCAATCAGCCAAAGGCTCAGCTTTCAGACTGCTCTAAAGAACAGTTTCTGACTATTTGTTTCAGATCTTGGCTCTGTATGATGGAGAAGGTAAGCTAAGATTGTTCTTCTAAGATGGTGTTTGGCTTGAGGGGCAACTCCTTGGACTAAGATAATAAGGATTATTTTTGATGTTCAGTCATGCAAAGCTATAGTAAGATCAAGGAACAGAAACATGGAGCTGGGATGGAAAATAGTGGGTTTATTTTTTTAAGGAAAACTGGCATCTTACATTATTATAGTGAACCCAGACTGTGCTACAGTACACACTTACTTCTTTGATAATCTGTGGGGGAATGTAATTTTTAATTTTTGTTTTTTTGTTTTGTTTTTGTAGTTCTTCATTACTGGAGAAAAAATTACAAAAGCTTCTTGAAGCTCTACATTTGGGTTCATTTGAATGATTGGCAACTAGTGTCAGCTTCTTGGGATAACTGGAAGCCAAGCAGTCATCTGATACCTCCATTATTTCAATGAGTTTTTTTTTCTTTTCTGTGTCGGCCGTCAGACTCTGGGGCCCTTCAGTCACCCGGTGCAGAATGCGTGCGACAGAGGCAACCTTTTTCCACATTCCTGCGTAAATGAGTTTTGTCCCTACACTGTAATTTAGGTCATCACCAAATCAGCGCTTGTTTTGTGGTATTTGAATAATGTCCAGTGTGCTTGGTCGGCACAGTCACCCCATGCCTGTTACCATGGGAAACGGGCGTGAGCTGGAACCTCCTCCATGCATTTTCCCAAAGTCCTATATCTCAGCCTTCTAGGGTGGTGCTGAGCGGGGAGGGGTGGGAGGTTACTTGCGGTCATCTCTTTCTCTGCAGCTAAAGGTGCAGGTTTACGCGCCGCACACCCACTAATTAACCCTCCGTGGGTTAAGTGAGATAATTAAGGTGGTGGGGGGCGGAGGGTGGGATGATACCTGTTCACTGTGTCTAACAGATAAAGCTACTCTGCCAGGGCTACAGAGGTTAATCCTGCTGACTCCTCCCAGTCATTCATCGTAGCAATTATCGTACCACTTTAGGTTCGCCTTAAAACTGGGTGGGCTGCTCGAGAGCGCCGGGAAATCGCGAGGAGCTGTCTCCGTTACGCGTGGTGCTGAAAGTGCCACTCGCCGCATCATGTGGTCGGTCTTCTTCGTATTTTTGTCTTATCTGGACACAAAGGTCGTCAATGGCGACCTCCTGAGTGGCGCTTTGGATGCAGAAAATGAGGGCAAAGAAATGTTCTCCACGCTGAACGGCACCGTGTGCGCAAAAATGTCCACGGTGGGGGAGAATTTCCTCTACCAGGTATCAGACGGAGCCGAGGTGGTGGGCTCAGTAGTCAGTCCAGCCGGGAAACTATTGAACTGCTCCGTGATAGTGGAACAGATGCAGGTGAAATCTTTCATGCACGAGTGCAGGTTGGGGCTGAAGAGACAGAGTGGCGGGCGGCAGGTGGAGGCGAGTTTTGCGCGCATGGATGAAGCCAAGTTGATGTGCAGAAAGTTTAAGAAGAGGGTGGAAAAGGAGGATTCGACTGTGCAGGTGCAGGTTCTGAAGAGATCCAAGAGAGGCTTTACTTATCCGGGGACCCTGTGGTGCGGAGCCGGGAACATGGCTGATAGCTATGACCAGCTGGGTAGGTTGAAAAGTTTTTATTCAAGCTGTCTGACTCCCGAGTGCAATACCTGAAATAAATAATAACGCTGACCTCTCTTTTACAGGAGAGTTTGCAGGCACTGACAACTGCTGTCGTATTCACGACCACTGCCCTCATGTCATCCACGCCTTCTCCTCAAACTACGGTTACACCAATTTCAAGTGGCACTCCATCTGTCACTGTGACTGCGATAATGCGTGAGTTAAAGCTTTATTTCAGTGATGCTCTTCTTCATTTCAGCAATAAAGAAGAAAAACTGGAGAGTGCAACTTAATTAGGAGCAGTTAACACATTAAATGTTTGGCAGGTCTGTATGTGGAATAGCTGATAAATTATGTTGCCAGATGTTAATATTACTCTATTGACTGGCATTATGGTCTCTTAAACTAAAACCTTCCTGGCTAATTTTAGATAGTAATGCCAGCCCAGTAGATACATTGCTGTATTAACAATATATAGTACTTGCTTGTCATTATGTCAGTTGTAGTTCTCTTATAGAGAACTCAAATCATCCCTTTACTCTCTCTGCAGGTTGAAAGACTGTTTGAGGAAAGTCAACGATACATCTTCCCGAGTTGTTGGTCAGGCATTTTTTAATGTCATCGGTGTCCCTTGCTTTGAGCTTGCTTATGAAGAGCAGTGCGTAGAGCGGCACTGGTATGGTCTGTAAGTATTCGTGTAAATCTTTAAGTAGATTTTAAACATACTGAGCCATTTTACTTTCGTAATACGTGACACATTGCCTCCCCTCTCTGTTTTCTCTCTCATAGGTGCAAACGATACAAGAAGCTCCCCGTTGCTGTGATGAGAGAGGCGGTGCCGTATGACTTTGGAGGCATTGACATCATTGATGAGCTGACAGTAGCTCCTCCCAAGTCAAAAGGTTCTAAGAAAAGCAATGAAGAAGAGAAACTGGAGAGTGCAACTCAGTCTACGATGTTGGGTCCCGAGGAGCCGTCGCTCAGAAACGTTGTCACCGCCGCCGAGGATTTCCTCAAGGTTCTCGCTACTGTCTCCACGTCGCAAAGCTCCAGTACCAACTCTGATAAGGTAGAGGAGCAAAGTTCGGAGAAGAAGAAGAGGAAGAACACAGGGAAGAAAAAGAAAACCAACAAAAAGAAAAAAGGAAAAGGAAAGGGGAGGAAGAGAAAAGTGAAAACAGAGGCAGGTGTGAAAGCAGAGGAAGGAGCTGCTGTTTCACCCTCTGGCAGCAAAGCAGAAGTCAAGCCTCTGAGTAACTTCATCAATGAGTCACAAAGATATGATCAGTCAAGCAGGAGCACAAAAAGAGTCGATGAGAGCGAATTTGAGCTCAGAGGAAAAGACGAACCCCTTAATGAAGTCATGAAAGATGAACCAGCCTTGGATAAGGAGATGGTTTCCATTACATCACCTGCAACAGTCCAGAAGAGGCCAGCAGAGTCGATCACTGCTGTGCTGACAGAAGAAGTCACTCCCTCAATAAGCACTACTGTTCCACATAAAGCTAAAACAAGAAGGCAAAGAAATGAGAAGAGAAAGAAGAGCAAAGAAACAACTCTTCTTTCTTCTCCCAAAGATTTTGTAGCAAACAAAACAGAAAACTTAAGCCTTGTCCCCACCATCATTACCATAACCCCACCAGCGCAGCCTGAGCAACAAAACTTTGGGAGCGACACTGAAAAGCGACCTGTTGTCAGCATTGCCAATGCCCCCATTGTTATCTCCAAAGTCAAAAGGAACAGGTCAAAGGAGAAAACAGACACAGAGGGGAGAAAGAAAAGGAGGGAAGGCAGCTCTGCTTCCCCCATTGTTCCTGTTGCCCTGCAAAATTCCTCTCTGGACAATCTGAAAGTGATCCCTCTCACTGGGGTTCACACCACACCGTCGATCCCCACCGCAGACTACCAGCTTTCCCACAGGCTGGACGTTTACACAGAAAGGGTCAAAGTTACAGCTTTGAACACTTCCTTTAGTATTTTGAAAAGGCAACGGTCAAAAGAAAGAGGGCTGAGAAACAGCAAGAGGAAAGCCAGTGTGCCTTCTTCATTGGAAATCCCGCGTTCTCACAACAAGTTTGAAAATGTGCTCCCTGTTCTCACGACTCCAGACACTCGTGTTCCTCTCAACAGCCATGAAGCCACTGCTGCAGAAGAAGAAACACAAACTCAGAGTGAATGGAGGCTTTTTGCCACAGCTGCGCCCACTGTCGACACAAAACAGCAGCGGCAAGCAGCCAGACAGCAGAGAAAACCAAGAAAGAAAGCTGCAGCTCTCAGTGATGCATTTTCTGATGCTAAACAAACTGAACCAGTCACATTTTTAAGCATGCCATCCAGAGCTGCCACTACAGCAGAGCTTAGATCTAAAAACCCCTTTGTTACCACCTTAGCACCACCTGACATGAGTCCACTTCAGTTATCTATTGAGAGAGCTAAAGCACAATTCACCAGGAAGAAGAAAAGGAAAATGAGACTGTCTAACCGACAACAATGAGCCGTGTTTTTCAGGCACAGCAGGATAGATGGAGAAACACACAAACACAGCTTTAATTACTTAGATTAGCACCTGATGACCAGACATGCTTTACAGTTAGAATATTTACATATCACAGTACACTCTTTTCTGGCTTTAATTGCTGGAATTGACATAATCATATTTAATTGTAATATGAGAATCAAGTTTTGCAATACTTTATCCTGCATGTCAATAATAAAATTATTGGTTGATTATGAATGTGTGGCAGTGTTTCACTTTATTTATTCAATAAATAAAATATTAAATAACAGTATTCTATTTTAACATAAAATAATAATTCAAAATGTTTTCTAGCAAAAGCATCTTCCAGCAACCACTTGCCATCCTGTCAGGGAATACAACAGTACAACTCCCTAGCAATTAGTGGTTGCCAAGCAGTTGCCAACTGGTCTTTAGGACTGTATGAAAAGGCTCTAAAACAACTTTGTTCTGTCTGGCATCCCCCTGTTTTTTGTGCTAACAGTCAACGCTTTGCCCCTAAAATGAGTATATTAGGGATATACACTCTACACTGTGATATCAAAAAGGGATAAAAGTAGTGTTTAATACGAGCATCTACCAGTGTAAACGTATGTATGTCTGATAGCAAAATTAGCAAAGATGTAACAGAAGCTACCAACTTTAATGAGAAGCTAGCACCGGTGAATGTTAGCTTAAAACCACAACATATGCACGGATTAAATTTATTCAAATCTGATGTGCTATTTGGTGAGATTTAGCTTAGCTGCTGAGAGGATATGATTACCACTGACTGTACAAAACTAATGGATTACAGTCGACCCCCGATATTTGTGGGGGTTAGGGACCACAACCGCCTGCAAATAGCTGAGATCTGCAAATACTTGAAATCCCATCTAAAATGTTTATAACTGGTTATTTTAATAGTTCAAACACCAAATATATCTTATACTATCACCCTAATGAAAATAATTACTTTAGATATGCTTTCTATGCTTTCCAAAAAATCAGTGAATAGGCAAATTTTCCACAAATAATTTTATTCGTTCCACAGAAAAATCTGGGAGTAGGTGATTCTGCAGATACCGAACCTCGAAGAGGCGGAGGTCGACCGTACTGCCCTTGGACAACACCAGGCTATACTAAGCTAACAGGCTGCTAGCTATACCATCTTATTTAACCTTAGGAGAATGGTAGAAAACTGCAGCTTTAACTCCTAAAGAAACAAAGCAATGTGAATGCTCCACATGGCAACAAATAGTTTTTCAAACTTTGTAAAAATGATATAAATTTGAATAACATACCAAGAGCTATTCTTATCTAGCTAATAAAATATAATCTTCATTTTGTAATTTTGCATGCACATCTTATCTCAGCTGGAGACATTTAATCAGAAGGAGGAAGCTGAAAGGCTTAAGGTTGACCTTCTTAACCTGACTCTCCTGAGTTTCTTCTGGGTCAGAAATAGCCTTTAAGGCAGTGGTCCCCAACCTTTTTTGCACCATGGATCGGTTTATGTCGGACAATATTTTCACGGACCGGCCTTTAAGGTGTCACGGATAAATACAACAAAATAAAACCAGTATGAGTACAAAAAAAAGAGAAGATTTATTCATAACACACGGGAAAAGACCCAGGGAAAGCGAGTTAACGATAAAAACTATTTTAAAGAGTAACGATAAAAACCCGCTAAAAACCCTGAAACCCATGAATTTCACACCCGAGCATGAACTCTCGCGGCCCAGTACCAAACAACTCAAGTATTATACTATCGCCCATCCTGTCCATGGCCCTGGGGTCCTGGACCGCTTCTTTAAGGGGTCGCTGAACCATGTATGGTTAGCATACTGAACTGGGAGTAGGTTTTGACAGAAACATGTGCATTTTCCTGTTAGCTGAACATTTTATAGTTGTATGTTGTCAGGGGGATGGGGTGAAAAATTCCTCAGTGCAGAAAAATCCCTGCTTTTCTTTCAATACTGCAAAAAAAAATCTGTCAAGAAAAAGCTTAATATATACATGCATGCTCTTTTCTCCAAGGTGACTGAGGACTTTGGTCAAGCTGCCTCCCTGTGCGTGGTTTAAGGCAGGGTCACATTCTCAACACTGATTAGAACCTCATTATTTTCACCTCTTACCATTGAGGGTTGTAGAGGCAAATCCTACAGATCAGCTGACTGTCACATGCTTGCATAAGAGGACTTTATCTGGATGGTTCTGGACATCCAACGTATTTCCAAATTAGACCTCAATCACTCAATCATTTAAAATGTGCTCTTAGAGGAAGAATATTCACATACAATATGGACATCTACATATCTTGCAAACAGTGGGAGTAATGTAAAAGTGCAGATTTTTATGCTGCAGCTCAAGTTCCCAGGACTTTTTGGAAGCCATCCAAATATTCAAAGGAGCTTTCAGGTGCAGTCCACAGTTGAAATGGGCAGAGCGACTAACACAGTCGGATGTGTGATAAAGCCATTTCTCACAGCGGGGGAAGAAAAAGTAGCAGGAATTTTCCAGTTCATCAAGTTTATGAGTTTTTAGGGTTTATGTTCGTATTTCAAAATGTATTACAGGTTGTTACTTGCACGTACAGATTAAAAAAAATATCACTGAAGGCAAATTTTTTTTGTATAGTAAAATTTTCACATCATTAAAAAATTTATATTTTAAAGACATTGGCATTATACATAAAAATGTACCCTCATGAATATTTCTGATTAGTAAATGCAACCGACTCCATAAGATCTTCTTGATGCTAGACACTTTGCAGTTCTTTCAGACTTTCAGACTTTCCCAAGGGGTCAAATATATATTTCAAGGGTTGTGAGTAACATGTGCAACAGGGTCTCACAGAAGAAAGCTCACATTTTGTGAC